TGTGTGTGTGTGTGTGTATGTGTGTGTGTGTGTGTGTGTGTGTGTGTGTGCGCGCGCTTGTGCCCCATGTGGGTACTTCTGGAGGCCAGAAAAGCACATTGCATCCCCTAGGGCTGGGGTTCCAGGTGGTTGTGAATGAGCGCCTCAGGAGTGCCTGATGTGTGTCTGTCTCAGGAAGTTCTCTTAGCCACTGAGCTGTTTCTCTCCCCTTCTTCCCTCCTCGTTTTTAAGTTTAAAAGTGTTGTTTTTGTTGTTGTTATTTGACAATTTCAGACATCATTGTTTACATCATTTCTACCCCTGCCTCTCTTCGCTCTGACTCTTCCCATGTCTTTTTCACTCGTCTCAAATTCATGCCCTCTTCTCTAATTATTATTGTAATAGACATTACATATGCACATACATATAAGTACATATGTATGTGCATGTATTTAGGGCTCACCACTTGGGATTAGATAACCTTTCAGGGGACTGGTGCCCAGAGAATACTGATTCTTCCTTTCTCGACAGCCAGCGTGTGTAGCTCTTCATCTAGGCATGGGGACTGTGAGATTTCCCCCATCCTCGTAGGCATACAGTGCCATTGTCATGCTGATCTTCCTTAGGTGACCGTATTGTCGTGGTTTCCTGGCGCAGTTGCCCTGTCCTGTAGAGAAGACACGTTCTCGCAGTAGATATTTCGGTCCTGGTCCTCTGAGTCTTCCCAACCCCTCTTCCGCAATGTTCCCTGAGACTTACATGTAGGGTTGTGTTGTATCAAATAGGTTGTGCACACCACAGTCGGCTGTTTTCTCTGTAGTTTGACCAGTTGTGCAGGGGTGGATAAACATTTTTTAAAAAATAGGCAATAGGATGGATTTAGCCCTTGAGCCATAATGTAATATTACTTCTTTAGGTCATACTAGTATATTTGTGTATTTAAATTAAAAATATGCATGCTCTCTCTTTTTTTTTTTTTTTTTAAGAAATATGTGTTGATGTAGAACTAAAATTTGTTAGTGGACCACATAGATGATAGGAGGTACTCCCTTCTAAATCCTATTCACTGATGATTAAAATCTTTTGGAATATATTCTAGAAATCATCTTTCTAGGTGCGTTTTTCATAATTGAGGTTACAATGTATCCATTGGTCTGTATTTTTTCATGTGCTTGATACTGAGGTCAGTTTGAGTTGACTAAACCTTCTTCTGCCTCCCAGGTGCAGAAGGCAGTTGAGGAAGACAACTGCTGCTTTGGGACTATTGACACTTGGCTGTTACACAAGCTCACAAAAGGTAAAGAACCTCACCGACCTGTTGCAATTGATCAAAATGAGACCGAGGGACCAGAGTTGCCTAAAAGAGAGTAGAAATTACTTCTACCACGCTTTTTTCTTTCCATATCCCAAACGCCCTGCTGTTTTGGCACACCAGTAACTACATGTTGCAATAAAGCTAGCTGTATTTCCGTTTCTTTTGGAAGAGGAAGACGGCTTAAAGATGCTGATGAAACTTCAAAGTCTAAGACTTGGGGAACAGTGTTGATTTCAGAGTGCTAAAATAAGACTCCCAGGTAAGATTGCAGGCTAGAAGCAGCACCCCCATGCGTGATAGTGAAAGAGTCAGAATAAGAAGAAATAGACTTGATTCCAAAGAGAGAAAGAGCTTCAGAAACCTACAGCGGAAATAGAAGGAAGCCCACAAGGGTAGAGACAGAGATGGACAGTGCAGAGGCTGAGCACAGCTTGGGCCCCGAAGCTCCCTGAGAAGTAGGGGAAGGTTAGGCACATCCACAAGCACTGTGTGTTCCTTTCACTGACTCATACTGGGGACGGAGCCTTCAAGAGCTGGCTGATTAAGAAAATCCCCAGATAAAATGGGAGGGGCTAGCCAAATTGCAACAGAGAACCAAAGCATCATGATAAAGCAACATGACTCCTTCAGAAGACCATAACTTCTCAATGACTAAACTTCATCAAAGGTAGTGAAGGAGGTAAAATGTGAGGTGAAGAGTTCAAGTTTATTGATTAAAAAAAAATCAATGGATGGCAGGAAAGAGGATACAAGCAAGCAGATTAATTGAATCCCAGGTCAGCATTTTAAAAGAAAACATCAGCCATCTGGATGACCACATGAAGGCAGAGTCTAGTAGGAAAATTGATATTCTGAAAAACAACAAATAGAAATGTTGGAAATGAAAAACTCAGTGAATCAAATAAATACAGTGGAAGGTTTCACCAATGTATCTGACCAACTGGAAGAAAGAATAAAAGGAAAAGAGGGCAGAGTTCACAGAGTACCACAGCCAGACCCCAAGAAGGGGAAAAAAAAAAAAAAAAAAAACGAACAAATATGACCACAACGTCCAGAAAATCTGGGGTGTGATCGGAAGTCCCAAGCAAAACTTTCACGGGATAAAGAGACAAACACTAAAAAGCAGCATCTATTTGAAGAAATTATAGCAGAGAATTTCCTAAATCAAGAGAAGAAATGAATGTCCAGTAGAAGGGGTGCCGAGAACCCCACATAGGTAGTCCAAAGAAGAACCTTTTCATGGTATAGTTAAAATGCCAAAACACAGAGCGAAGAACACCGAAAGCTGTCAGGAGAAAAGCCACCTCACTCACAAAAGCAGACACATCAGAATGCCATCACATTGCCCTGTGGAGTCCAGCATGGAATGATGATGCTTTCAAGCCCCGAAAGTACAAACAGCCAGCCAAGAGTGCTATGCCCGGCAAAGCTACCTTTTACAGATGATGGAGAAACAAGGACATTTATTTCAAGGACAGCCAGGCTCAGGCTGTTCTTGACTTTCAAGCCGGTGATACAGAAGATGTATCAAGGGATACCGTACACCAAAGAAGAAGAAAGTCTCCGTCATAAGAATACAGGAAAGAGTACATTTTATGAGAGGAAGGCATCAACAGAAGAGAACTAGGAAGGAATCCATCTTGTCCAGCACAGTAAACCAGCCAGGCCTTCATACTGATGGGGCAGAAAGAAGAGAACAAGTGTGTGGCCAAGCAGAGAAATAACTAGGAACATTGTAGTGATGCACCACGGGAGCCAGTGGACAAGCTGCTGGAGTCAGTGTTCTCTGTCCACCGTGTTGGGCCAGAGGCAGGGTGGCAGACACATTTATTGAGTTGTGTCCTCAGCACTCAGTGACATTCTTCATCACAGAACTAGAAGAAAACCATCCTAGCTGGAGATGGTGATGCATTCCTGTAGTCCCTGCACTTGTGAATCAGAGGCAGGTGGATCTTTGAGTTTAAAGACCAGCCCGGTCTACATAGCAAGTTCTAGCCCAGCTAGAGCTACAACGTCAGACTCTGTCTCAAAACAAAAATAAAAAGAACACAAGACAGCTGGGTGTGGTGGTGGCATGCCACCCATCCCATTTAATTCCATCACTCAGGAGGTAGGGGCAGGCTGATTTCCTTGAATTAGAGGCCAGCTTGGTCTACAGAGCAAGCTCCAGGACAGCCAGGACTACATAGAGAGATCCTGTCTCAAAAAAAAAAAAAAAAACAGATTATTTTGGGCTGGAGAGATGGCTCAGTGGTTAAGAATATTTGCTATTGCTCTTCCAGAAGACTCGAGTTTGGTTCTCTATATTTCAGGTGGCTAACAATTGTCTGTAACACTGGCTCCTGGGATCCCACGCCCTTTTCTGGCCTTTGTGGACACCTTCATACGTGTAGGCATATACACAGATAAAAAAGAAAATAAACCTTAAAAAGAATAAGGATCTTAAGGCAAAATGCATCAGGACATGTTCTTGGCAAGGACTTTCTGGAAAGGACTCTATTAGCATAGGAATAATCCCAATAATTGGTGAATAGGATTGCTCGAAATGAAAAATTTCTGCACAGTGAAGGAAACAGTCATTTAAATAAACACCCTAAAGCATGGGGGGGAAATCTTTGCCACCTACACATCAGACCAGTGATTAATATCTGAATATTTAAAGAATGTAAAAATTAAACACAAACCCCTCAGTCATCTTAAGGAAGAAATAGAAATGCCCAATAGTTATTTTAAAAAGTGTCCAGTATTTTAGTCATGAGGGAAATGCACGCTGAAACTGCTTTGAATTCCATCTTGCCCAGATCAGAATGGCTGTCATCAAGAAGATAAATAAAGCCAGGTATGGTGGCTCAAGCCTTTAATCCCTGCATTTGGGAGGCAGAGGCAAGTGACTCTGTGTGAGTTCAAGGCCAGCCCTGTCTACATAGCAAGTTCCAGAACATCCAAGGCAATAGAGAGAGACCCTGTCTCAAAATAAAACAAAAACAAAACCACAAGAAGATAAGTGGCAGCACATGCTGGTGAGGATGTGGGAAGAGGAGCCCTTCTTCACTGCTGCTCCTGGGAATATGAGCTTGCGCAGCCTCGGTGGAAACCAGCAAGAAGGCTTCTCAATAAGTAAAAAGACAATTACCATGTGCCCTGGCCATACCACTCAGGTATATAACTGGAGGACTCTAAGCATACCACAGAGACGCCTGCACATCTATGTTTATTGTTCTATTTATATAGCCAAAAAAGGAAACCAACCTAGAAGTGCACCAACACATAATCAATACAAGAAAAATGTGGTACAAACATAAAATGCGTTTTATTCGGCTGTAAAAAAAAAAAAAAAAGGAGTCATGACATTTGCAGGAAAATGAATGGAACTGGAAATCGTGTTAAGTGAGATAAGCCAGACTTAGAAGAAAAGATACCATGTTATCTCTCCTATGTGGAGTCTATATTTAAGTACGTGTGTGTGTGTGGGGGGGGGGGGGATCTGGGTCATTAAACCAGAGGATCATGGGAGAGAAGGAAGAGATTTTTTCAGGGATGGGAACAGAGGGTGGTGGAATACATGTGACATCCACTCCAAAGGACTGTCTGTCTAGGGGAAGGAAGAAGTTAGAATGGGTGTGGCACATAGGAGGCAAGACAAATTAGCATAAAGTACAATAACATTAACATAAAGCACAATAACATTAGCATAAAGTATAATAGCATTAGCATAAAGCACAATAACATGAAAATGCCATAATGAAACACATGGATTTGTGTGCTAACTTGTGGTGGTATTGTGTTCCCCAAAATATTGTGCACCCTAATAAACTTATCTGGGTCATAGAACAGAACAGCCACTAGATACAGAGGCCAGAAAATGGTGGCACACACACCTTTAATCCTATCACTTGGGAGGCAGAGATCCATCCGGATCTCTGTGAGTTCAAGACCACACTGGAAACAGCCAGGCTAGTAACAAGAGCCTTTAATCCCAGGAAGTGATGGCAGGAAACAGAAAGGTATTTATGGCATGAGAATGAGGAACTAGAGCTGGTTAAGCTTTTAGGCTTTTGAGCAGCACAGCTTGTTCTGCTTCTCTGATCTCCCAGCATTCACCCCAATACCCAGCTCCAGGTTTATTTTTATTAATAAGAACTTCTAAGATTCATGCTACACTAACTTAAAAAAAATAACTTAAGGGGCTGAAGAGGTGGCTCAGCTATTAATTACCAAAGATCCACATGTTGTCTTACAACCATTCTGAACTCCAGTTCCAGGGAACCCAATGCCCTCTTCTGACTCCCAAGGGCACCAGGCATGCATGTGGTGCATGGACATACATGCAGGCGAAACACTATTACACATGGAAAAAGTAAATATAACTTTAAATTTTGAAAAATAAACAAAACAGTGATAACACTGTACTTGGATATTCTTTGCCGGGGGAGTAGGGAGTTGGGGCAGTTAACTTAACATCTCTACACCTTTTCCCTTAAAACTGAAGGTCCTAGCCGGGCGGTGGTGGCACACGCCTTTAATCCCAGCACTTGGGAGGCAGAGGCAGGTGGATCTCTGTGAGTTCGAGGCCAGCCTGGGCTACAGAGCAAGTTCCAGGACAGGCTCCAAAACTACACAGAGAAACCAAAACAAAAAAGTGAAAGAAAACAAAACAAAACAAAACAAACAAACAAACAAACAAAAACCTCAGGATCCTAAGGTTTTATCTATAAAATTGCTTTTGTAACATTCAGGACTGGTGAGACGGCTTAGCTGGTAATGGTGGCACACACCAAGCCTGATGCTCTGAGACAGTCCCTAGAGCCCACATGGTAGCGATAACCGACTCCATAAAGTCGTCCTCTGGCCTCCATATGAAGACAGTGGTGTGCATTGGGAAGGGGACGGTGGCTGGTGAGACACCTGCTGCCAAGCCTGAGGACCAAATCTGATCCTGGGGACCCATGGTGGAGAGAGCGAGCAGACACTTGAAATCACCCTCTTGTCTTCACTGTGTGCTGTGACTGATACACACACATACATTAATTGTAATTTGGAGAATTTTAAATAGAGTCTTAAAGTAAAAAACTATAAAGGTTCATAAAGATTTAGTGGGAATTTTCCTGGAAACTTGAATGTAGCAAAGATTCATTTTAGGATGAATTTGAAGGTAGACAAAAGTCTAGATTGTACACCAAGGTTAGATGATTTATATTACCTGATAATAAATGTGTTATTTCTAATGTAAATTTAGGTTCTTCGTATGCCACGGATTATTCAAATGCCAGTACAACTGGATTTTTTGATCCATTTGGGGTAAAGACTTTTATCTTCTTTTTTGAATCAGCAGTTTTTTCTGTAATTTAGGCTAGATTCTTTTTTTAACTGATTATAGTCGACAGTCCTGTTTATTGTGTACAATGTGATGTTTTTTCGATGTGGGTAGAGGTGTGAGACATTCCAGCTTGCATATCCTGACGCCATATTTTTATGCCCAGATGTGTTGGAGCAAGCTCATGGCCTCCATAGTTTCCATACCGCTCTCGATCCTGCCTCCTGTGAAGGACACAAGGTAAATGTGAGCACCAGACAGACCTATAGAACTGCCTTTGAAATCTCTCTGCTTAGCTGGGGAAGGGATGCTTTGCTTTGCTTTGTGTTTTGTTCACCCATTTGCTGCTTCTGCATGGGGTTCTCTAACCCTGTGGCCTGTGTGAAAAGCAGTTTGCTGGATTTTAGAATGAATATGTCCAGAGCCACAATTAACTCTTCCATCCATCTTATTTGAAGCTATAATTTTGGATCAGTGGATGAAGAGATATTTGGTGTGCCTATACCAGTTGTTGCCTTGGTAAGTAGACGACATGGGGGTAAAAACTAAATGAATATGTTTGAATAGTTGGGAACTGGCTTTAAGAGAAACAGAGGTCTTCGTAGACTAAAACTAATGCCTGGGCCAGGTGTGGCGGCTCATGACTTTAATCCCAGTACTCAGGGGCACAAGAAGATAGATCTTTGTGAGTTCAAAGCCAGCCCGGTCTACATAGCAAGTTCTGGGGCAGCCAGGGCTGTATAGTGAGATCCTACTGTTCTCAATGTTAGCGTTAGAACTTTTGCCACTCTGGGTGAGGCTGGGGTTCAATGTCAGCACTGAAGAAGAAACAGACAGTATGCCTAGTAGTTCTTTTCTTTCTTTCAAGTTGAAAGGGTCATGCATATAATGGGAAACATCCCCTGTATTCTGGGTGGAGGACACTGGCCAGTCTTCTATGGTGGAAGTACTCTGTAACCATTCCCAACTATTACATTTTCTAAAGATACTATGTTCTGAGTAATATTTTACTTCTGTTGATTCTGCAGTTTTAAAAGCAGTGAGGGGCTACTTGCTTAGATTACATTTCATCACAACAGCCCAAACCAGTAATAAGGAATTGATATTAGAGGAGGAAGTTGTATTTGGATTACAAAATACAACTTCCAAAATATGAAAGTATTTGATTACAAAACCCTTAGCATACAACTGCCCGGGTAGATATCAGCATAAAAATAAAAATAAAAATAAAATAATTGCTGAGGATAGGTTTAGTGTTAAATTAAGATATGGCTCAGATTCTTTTTTTTTTTTTAATTTTTTTTTTGTTTTGTTTTGTTTTGTTTTTCCAAGACGGGGTTTCTCTGTGTAGCTTTGCGCCTTTCCTGGATCTCGCTCTGTAGACCAGGCTGGCCTCGAACTCACAGAGATCGGTCTGTCTCTGCCTCCCGAGTGCTGGGATTAAAGGCGTGTGCCACCACTGCCCAGCTATTGATTTTGTTTTTATACTAATGTGTGGACTTGCTAATGCTAGGGTCTTATTCTGTAGCTTGGGCTAGCCTTGAATTCTCTGCAAGCCACTCAGTCGCACCCATGTGTTCCCCTACCCCGGTGCTTTCATTTTTTTTTAATTTTTTTGTGGTGGGGACAGGATCTTGTTATCAGTTCAGGCCTGCCTCTAACTTAATATCCTCCCGTCAGACTCTGCAGTGTTGGGGTTGTGTGTTCAGCTATGCTTGGCCTCAGAAGAATCAAACTCAGTGTCGGGTTTAGTGGCAGACGCGTTTATCTGCTGAGCCATCCTGCCAGCCCTATTTTTATTTTTTATTTTATTTCTTGGTTTAATGTGGTGTTAGTCACCATGACCATGTGCAGACAAGGCAAGCGCTCTGCAGTGGTTGGTGCTTAATAGTCCCAGCTACTCAGGAGGCTGAGGCACCAGGGGAAGTCTAGGCTGCCCTGGTAAACATGGCAGCCTGTCCCTAAAAAGAAAAAAGTTCTGAGTGTGACTTAGTGTAGAGAACTCGTCAGCACATGTGAGGCTTCTGGATCGATGTCCAGTGCTGTAGGAAGTTAAATGAGCAGCTTTATGGGTATTTACATGTAGCCATCATAACAATTTTTTTTTTTTAACAATCATTCTTTTTTTTTTTTTGGTTTTTCAAGACAGAGTTTCTCTGTGTAGCTTTACGCCTTTCCTGGATCTTGCTCTGTAGACCAGGCTGGCCTCAAACTCACAAAGATCCACCTGCCTCTGCCTCCCAAGTGCCGGGATTAAAGGCGTGCGCCACCATCGCCTGGCATCGTAACAAAATTAAAATCTTTTAAAATAGGAAATACAAGTTTAGGCCGGGCAGTGGTGGCGCATGCCTTTAATCCCAGCACTTGGGGAGGCGGAGGCAGGTGGATCTCTGAGTTGTCAGAGGCCAGCCTGGGCTACAGCGGGAGTTCCAGGACAGCAAAGGCTACACAGAGAACCCTGTCTTGAAAAAAAAAAAAAAAAGGAAATACATGTGGTTTAAGACTTCTGACTTTATTATAACCTCTGTCACTCTTAGTAAAAGAGAAATTCATGAGATCTTGACAAATGAGTGAAACCTCTAAGGTGAGAATGAAAGGTATCGTTTTTTTGGTACAGTTTTTATGCTGACGTTCCTGGAATTACTCATGAACTAGATTGGCACCAGCACCCCTTAGACTAGTCAGTTGCCCGAAGTGCTGTCCAGAGAGACCCTGAGCTGTGCAACCATTGTCTTTGGGGTTTATTTTTAAATTAAGGAAATGGCTAAAAAACAAACAAACAAAAAAAAAAAACAAGTGAAATGTGTAATCGTGAGACTCCTATAAATGGGAAATGAACAATACTAAGTAAGTGCTGGTAGAGTGTGCATCTCACAGTTGAACACCTTGGCAGGTTGGTGACCAGCAGTCGGCCATGTTTGGAGAGTGCTGCTTCCAGACAGGAGATGTGAAATTAACCATGGGAACCGGGACATTTTTGGATATTAATACAGGAAACAGCCCTCAACATAGTAATGGAGGTAAGTAATCAGGATATATCTTGTTCCTAAGATAAAATTATGTTTGTGTTTCTTTGTGATGTATATCCGATATCTCTCTCTCTCTCTCTCTCTCTCTCTCTCTCTCTCACACACACACACACACACACACACACACACACTTTGTTTTTCCCCTCAGGCAGGGTTTCTCTGTGTAGTTTTGGTGCCTGTCCTGGATCTCACTCTGTATAGATTGGTGTGCACCACCATTGCCTGGCTCTAATTTCCCATTTTATGTTAAGGATATTCTTTGATATTATTATTATTATTATTATTATTATTGATAATTAATTTATATTGCCTTTAAAATAATTAAAAGAATTAAATTAGAAGCATTAAAAATAAAGATGTTGCCGGGTGGTGGTGGTGGTGGTGGTGGTGGTGGTGGTGGTAGTAGTGGTGCACACCTTTAATCCCAGCACTTGGGAAGCAGAGGCAAGTGGATCTCCCAAGTTCAAGGCTTGCCTGGTCTACAGAGTGAGTTCCAGGATAGCCAGAGCTTTATAGAAAAATGTCTCAAAAAACCAAAAACCCCAAAGTTGTTCATAGAAAAAATATTAGATGGATTATGCTATTTTGGTCATCTTTCCAAATATTTATTTGTATTACATACTATATTTGTTTAAATTTTACTATCAAAGTCTAAATCTCTCTTTTTCTGATTGACTTATTCATTGATTAATTGATTTTGATGTTGCTAATGGGGAATCAAACGCAGGCCTTTACACACGCTAGCAAGTATCGTATGCCTTGGGATACAAACCTGTTTCCTTTTTTCTATGGGTTAGAGACTTGCGGGGTGGTAATTGCCAACCAGTGATGAATATGTGTTTAGGGCCTTTTTAGTTTTTGGAGACCAAGTCTTATTATGTAGCCCACACTGGCCTTGAACTTGCTATGTAGACAAAGATGACCTGGAACCACCGATCCCCTTGCCTCCATGCCCCCCCCCACCCACACACACCGCCACTAGGATTATCGCTCTGCCACCATGCCTGGTTTAGATGGTGCTTCGCATGGAACACAGGGCCTTGTGTGTGCTAGGCAAGCACTCTTCCAGCTAAGCTGCATCCTCAGCGTTGTCAAAGATGCATTTAGAAATCATTTCCCAGCCTTCCCTCTGCAGCCTGGGCCTTTTTCCCAGGCTGGCAGGGGTCAAAGCTAGAAGAAGGTGGTCACTGTATTTCACTGTCCTGACTTAGGACTTTGCTGGAAGACTACAAATAAACAAAATAGCGTAGTTAATGCTCTGGCACAGTCCTCTCTAGTAACCTTTATTTTGCAGTTCAGATACCCATTGCCATGTGTCTAGAGACATGGATGTACCGGTAGGTATTAAAAGCTAGTAGCCAGGGGCCGGGGATATAGTTCAGTGGTGGAGGATTTACCTAGCATGCACCAGACCCTCACTTCAATTCCCAGCTCCCAAACCAAGACTAGCAACAGCAAAACAAAGGAGAACAAAAGCAGAACGTGCCCTGCACAGTTCTTGCACATACTGTACGCCAGGCTCTGAGCTTGTTCCTTATGGGGCACCTCTGTTTAGGCGGACAGCAGCTCTCTGGGGTAGGCCTCATTTCACTTGGAACAACCAAGGCTGAAGGTCCCGAAACGCTAAGATCATACCTAGTGAGGGCTGGGATTTGAACTCAGGCGGGCTTAGTGCGTAAGCACTTGGTGGTGGTTTGTGTCATCAGACTCTTGTGTGGTGGTTGGTGTCGCAGTTCATTGTGTGTTTGCTGTGTGACTGACTGTTGGTTTGCTTGTTTGCTTTCTAAGGCTTTTATCCACTAATTGGATGGAAGATTGGGCAGGAAGTGGTGTGTTTAGCTGAAGGCAATGCAGGAGACACAGGCACCGCCATTATATGGGCTCAGAAATTAGGTAAGTCACTGCAAACAAAACCCACAGGCTGGACTTGGGTTTAAGTTTGCCCAGGTTCTAGATCCATAGATGAAGAATGGACTATTCCAATGAGACACCAAAATAAAGTATCATGTACTAGGAGAAAATATAGACTAGTATTCAAATATATTTTTTCAAATATTGGGTTGGTAAAGGCTAGGTATTAAGGCTAGGAATTGAAAGGAAAAAGAATAAGCTATAGTCTGAAGAGTTTGTCTAACTATTCTTTATCAATAGAAAGTCAGGAACCAGATATCGGGGTAAGTACCTGAACGATAGAGAAGCATCAGAGCAGCTACCAGTGACTTCCTGTCTCTTGCCTTCCTCCATCCAAAAAGGGCCGAGATCCTCTCTCAGCCCTGCCCTACTACTTCCTGTCTCCTGTCTGTCCTCGGTCCACCAAAACCTCTATGGTTAATTTTGGTCATCTAATGGCTAGCTCCGCCCTGACTTCAAGCAACCTTTATTGTCAGAATATGATCAAAATATCACACAACAATAGTCATACATACTTTTTGTTTATTTTATTTATTTATTTTGGTTTTTCAAGATAGAGTTTCTCTATGTTGCCCTGGCTGTCCTGGAACTCACTCTAGACCATGTTGTCCTCTAACTCACAGAGATCCACCTGCCTCTGCCTTCTGAGTGCTGGGATTAAGGTGTGCGCCACCACACCCAGCTCATACACACTTTTAGTCCTAGCATCTGGGAGGCAGAGTTTAAGGTCCCTTTCATTACATAGCATGTTCAAGACCAGCATGAGCTATATAGTAAGATCTAGTCTTGGAAGAAAGGAAGCAAGGAGAGAAGGAAGGAAGGAAGGAAGGAAGGAAGGAAGGAAGGAAGGAAGGAAGGAAGGAAGGAAGGAAGGAAGGAGAGAAGGATGTAAGTATCTAGAACACCAGAATGTATAGGAAGAGCTATGCTGTGAGCAAAATAAAAGGACAAAAGGATAAGAACCGTTAGTAACAGCCAGGCATAGTGGCACAGGCCTTTAATCCCATTGCTGAGGAGGCAGAGGCAGGTGGATCTCTGAGTCTGAGGCCAGCCTGGGCTACAGAGTGAGACCCTGTCTCAAAAAACAAGAGAACCAACAGTAGCAGATGTCAGGGAGATTAGTAAACGACAAGGAGCCAGCCAGCTGGTGGTAAACACGTCTAAGGCCAGCACTAAACAGGCAGAGGCTGGAGCATGGACACCAAGTTTGAGTTCAGGCTGGTTTATATAGCAAGTTCCGGGCCAGCTAGGGCTATAGTGAGACCTTGTCTCAAAACAAAAAACTCTGCCTCCTGAGTGCTGGACTAAGGCATGCGCCATCACCCCTGGGCTGTCCTGCCTCTTTCTATGTTGTCTGTCTCTCTCTCTCTCTCTCTCTCTCTCTCTCTCTCTCTCTCTCTCTCTCTCTCTCTGCTCTGTTCCTACTTCTCTCCTGGCTATCTCCAGTCTCTTGGTCATGTCTGCTTCCTTCTCTCTGCTCTGGACTCTTTCAGATGCCTCTGGCTGTTCCCCTCATAGCCACACTTAAAATCTTTCCCTTAACCATAACATGGAGTTGTCATGTCCACAAAAGCCACTTTAAGCCGGGCGGTGGTGGCGCACGCCTTTAATCCCAGCACTCGGGGAGGCAGAGCCAGGTGGATCTGTGTGAGTTCGAGGCCAGCCTGGGCTACCAAGTAAGTTCCAGGAAAGGCGCAAAGCTACACAGAGAAGCCCTGTCTCGAAAAAAACAAAACAAAACAAAACAAAAGCCACTTTAAAAAGAAAGTTTAGGGTGCTGAGAGATAGTTCAGTGGCTAAGAATACTAGCTGTAAAGTTAAAAAGTATGTTGAAGTTTAAAAGACCTCTAGATTATCAGAAATTATATATGTAATATATAAAATTATATATATCATTTTTTTTTAGTTAATACTTTTCAGTTTTACCCACAGAGGTAGGAAGAAAAGGCTAGACTATTTCGTTTCACATTCATTGGAGTTCCCGTTCCATGTGACACCACATGCTGGTTTCAGAATCTTGGATAGTGGGGGGGGGGCTGAAGCGGGTGTGGAGGCAGGTGGGTGTGCTGTTCCTGGGGATTCTCACAGGGAGAAAGCCTCTTCGGGAGAGCCAGGACCTGACCTTGAGAGGCAGCAGGACTCCTGGCTGAGATGGGAGACCAGCCCTTCCTGAGGCCAGTCCAGCCTCTGGCAGGAAAATGAAACAATGTTTCAACTAGAAGAGAAGTTGGTCCATTGAAGATTTAGCTTAACTTTCAATCTGCCTGTAGCTAATCCTTGCTCTATTTGTCAGAAATCCACATAACAAGTAAACATTTATTTGATGTACCCCTGTCGGAGAATTTTAATGAGTACACTGAAAAAAATCCTAAACTGTATTCTGGAAAATGGCTGGTCAGACTGAGTAGCCCTGCCGTTGTCCCAGGCACTCTCTACACAAGCCTCCTCCCTCCCTTCTACCCTTAAATGAGTGGGAAAACTCAGAATCAGGTGAAAAGGCTGTTTTAAGTCAGTCTTCAAACTGGGTGTGATCACACACACACACACACACACACACACACACACACACACACACACACACACACACACACACGGGTAACCTCAGCGGGTTCTGGGCCAGCCAGGGCTACGTCGAGACCCTGTTATCTGTCTTTATTTCGTTTGTTTCTTCCTTTTCACAGTTCTCCACAGGTCCTTCTCATGGCCCTGCTTACTCCACTGCCCTCCCCTTCCTCAGCCTGCCTTTTTTATTTCAGTCTTATGAACATTCCCTATCTGTGAGCCTTGTTCTGTTCGTAAATAGGTTGGGAAGAGCCCGGAACTGTATGTTGCACGGTAAGGGTGACTGGACCTCCCGCCCTCATGGCAGGTCCAGTCTCCAAGAAAGACATACATTAAGTGTAAATTTAAAAAATGCTAATGTTGGTGCAGTGGTGTGTATCTTTAGGCATAGCTACTGAGACAGGAGGATATCTTGAGCCTAGAAGTTCTTCAGGGATAGCCTAGGTTGTTATAAGAAAGTAAGTCCATGAGGTGTGATAGGACCAACCATGACATCAGCTCCCTGGAGGATTATTTCAAATTTGAGACTACCCTGTGCTATATAATGAGCACCTGGCCAGACAACCAGGAGCTGCCTACTGAGACCCTGTCTATGAAAATGATAAATGAGTAAATCGATGGGCTGGGTACCCCAAGCATGTTTAAGGCCCTGAGTTTAATTCATTGCAAAAAAAAAATTAAATTTTGAACACACACTTACATATATGTATTTACAATACATATATATCAGTGTTAACTTGTAAGTGGAGCGGCAGAGTACGTGCGGGTTGTTTTCTACTGGGAGGGTCAGAAGACTTCTTTAAAAGTGGTTAGGCTGGCTGGGGCAGTGGTGGCGAATGCCTTTAATCCCAGCCCTCTGGAGGCCAGCCTGGTCTCCAGACTGAGCTCCAGAACAGCCAGAGCTGTTACACAGAGAAACCGTCTTGACCAAAACAAAGCAAACCAGAAGTGGTTAGGCTGGATGCAGAAGAAAGGTTAGGACCTTGGTCAGGTGGAGGAGGCCTCTGGTCGGGGTCCAAGCACTCAGGAGCACTGTGGAAGGAGAGGCAGAGGAAAAGCATGCCCAAAGGCCCTGTTTCTCTCACAGTGGTGGCAGTTCTCAGCTCCACTGCCCTCAGCTGACACACGTCAGGGGACATATTTCTTAGCAGGACCACTTGTAATTGCTAGTCCTAGTCACGTCTGCCTGCCCCACGCAATCCTCGAAAGACTTCTTTGTAAGTACACATTCTGAACTGTTTACTTGGAGCAAATGGCTCCTGCTCTCTGGCTCCTTCCCGAGAGAGATAAAGTCTGCCTCATTAGAGGAGGGACGTTTCTTGTTTGTTTTTATTTTTTGTTTGCCTAGAATCTCAGCACTTGAGAGGGTGCGAAGAAAAAACGCTGTAAGTTCCAGGTCAGCCTGGGTTAGAGTCAGACTCTCCTAGCTAGGTTTCCGTTGCTGTGATAAACACCGTCCAAAACCAACTAGATGTTAACTGGGCTTACACACCCGATCACAGGCAACCATTGAGGGCAGTCAGGAACCGTGGAGGAAGACTGCTTGCTGGCTTGCTCCCCATGGCTTCCTTCACTCACTTGCTTATACAACCCAGAAACCACCTGCCCAGGGGTGATGCCACCCACAGTGGGCTGAGCCTGTTCATATCAATCGTTAATCAAGAAAATCCCCCACAGACCAGTCTGATGAAGGCTGTAATTCCCCACAGACTAGCTCACAGACCAGTCTGATGGAGGCTGTAATTCCCCACAGACCAGCCCATAGAGCAGTCTGGTGGAGGCTGTAATTTCCCATGGACCCATCTTATAGAGGCTGTTCTTAAACTGAGGTTCCTTTCTCAGGTGGTTCTAGTTTGTGTCAATTGACACACTAACCAGCACAGAGGCCCTGACTAAAAACAAAAATGTGAAACTTTTTATTTAGTTTATTTTTTATTTTTTATTTTTTTTTTGGTTTTTCGAGACAGGGTTTCTCTGTGTAGCTTTGCGCCTTTCCTGACACTCACTTGGTAGTCCAGGCTGGCCTCGAACTCACAGAGATCCGCCTACCTCTGCCTCCCAAGTGCTGGTATTAAAGGCGTGCGCCACCACCGCCCAGCCTATTTAGTTTATTTTTATTTATTTAATTATCAGTAATTTTTAAGGCAGTCTCATTGTGTAGCTTTGATTGGCATGGCATTTACCATATAGTCCAGCCTGGCCTCGAACTCACAGTCCTCCTGCGTCAGCCTCGTGAGGACTGGGATTACAGTCATGCACTGTCGTGCCTGGGTTATTTTACTGTTTAACTGTGGAGCATTGACGTGGTCCCCAAAGCAGAGCCGTGTAGGTAGGTGTACCAAGAGATGACTTCTGTCACCACACCCTGCCTCCTGGTCTGGTAGGTGATTACCTCACAGCTCCCGTTGTTAGACTTACACAAGCACCTCCACTATTTGAGACACCTTGCTGGCCCTCCTTATTTTAAAAACTTAAGGGTCAGTGGTAACGAATGTTCTGAATTCTCCTTCCTTGGAGATTGTGGGGTTTTGCTTTTGTTTTTCGTTATTGTTGTTGTTTTTCTGAAGTTTAGTTTTCCTGGATGTAGAATTCTGAGACAATAGTCTTTTTTCTTTCATTATTTAAAAGATGGTGTTCTGGGCTTGGGGGGTAGCTCCATGGCAGAGCACTTGCCTGGCATGCACCAGACCTGGGCTTACTT